AGCTCAAAATAGTCAATATAATCAAAGTGGCTTATTGGGTGAGGGGGGTGAGTGTGTCCTGAACTCCTACAGTCATATTCCAGGGTGGCATATTCTACTGCCTTCAGAAGCAAAACAAACATTTTATTTAGAAATATAGAGGTTAATACTAAAAGCATCAGCTCAGCCTGGCCGGTGTGGGTCAGTGATTGAGTGTTGGCCTATAAACCAGGAGGTCAGGCTTTGATTCCTGATCCAGGCACATGCCCGGGTTGCAGGCTTAATCCCCAGTAGGGGTCATGCAGGAGTCAGCCAATCAATGATTCTCTCTTATCATTGATGTTTCTATCTCTATTCCTCTCCCTTCCTCCCTCTGAAACCAATAAAAACATATTAACAAATATATATCAGCTCAGACACTTGAAAGTGGTTCGTCCGGAGAACAGGCCGTGGGGGAACTCTGTCTTCACAAATATCAGAGACTCAAACTAGCCTCACCTAATGCTGACTCATCCCCCTTCCCCTCCCTTCTTAATCATGAAGCCCTCAGGACAGTGAGGTTCTGGTCAGCATCCAATAGTCTTAGAAACAAGGTCCTACTGACTATTGAGACAGTTTTCAATCCAACTAAACATAATATCTAGTCTCAATGGTGTTTTAGCTCCGGACCCAGAAAAGCAGAACAACCCCACAGAACAAGCCCTTGTGAAATTGGACAGAGTAACTCCATGGCTGACATCAGAACCAAAGGCTAGGATCAGATACCCCTCCCCTAGCACCAACTAATCAGCAGTCACCATGATTAGTGATCTTTCCTGTATAATCCATGCCCAGGAAGCCATCGGGGAGCCAGGTCTGTGAGCAAGAGCCACCTGTGACTCCGGGCATGGCGCCATCTCCTTCAGAAATCCTCACTTTCTTGGCTGCAAACTCCTGTTGGTGTGTTATTGGGCTTTCATGCGCGCAGGCCAATGGTACTGTTCAGCCTGGTAACAGCATTACTTTAGTCAAAATTAAAGTAAAAGAGTATAAACAAACAGAAACAGCCCACATGGCTTGTCTCTCTGAACTAGTAAATTAAACTAAGCGCTGAATGTTTTATAACATGATAGCATGTGATTCTAGCCAGTACTGCTTGAGGCACTTTGAGCTCAGAGCCAGAAAGTCCTGTTTTTACACATGAAGGGAAGCTCAGCATGAGCTCAGTGATGGACACTTCCCAGGGGTGGGAAGGTCGCAGCCACAGAAGAGATGCCGTTCTTATTGATGGTTAAATTCCAGATGCAACCTGAAATTTCAGTTTTTCGTGCGCATATGCAACGATGCGGAGAAAGAAGTCTTGAGAACTCTGAGATGTATCTGCAACATCACAGTTAAACTTCCTGGTGTGGAACCCAGCCAAAGATAACATAAAGAAAACACTGAGCACAAGAGTGGTGACTTGAAATTCAAAGGTGTTGACCTATTAGTCACCTGTCCACAGTCACTAAAGAAACCTGCTGAAAGAAGACCCACGGGGTGGGGTGGGGTGGAGAGCAGACTCTTACATTCCACACTCCAAATGGGTCCAAAGAATCAACTGCTGAATGTGAAAGGGACACCTGAACCCGTGAGAGCAAACTGAAAACATTTTCAAGGAAACAGGAAATGAATTGAAATATTGCAAATAATTCCCAAGCTTTCTCTCTCTCTCTCTCTCTCTCTCTCTCTCTCTCTCTCTCTCTCTCTCTCCCTCCCTCCCTCCCTCCCTCCCTCCCTCCCTCTCTCCCTCTCTCCCTCTCTCTCCCCCCAAATCTTGTTTTGGCTTCAAGTTACCTTTCCACCATTCTGTTCAGATTTTAATTTCATGGTGTGATCATTCAAGCTTTGGTGAATGCCCGGCAATAATTTGAGCTGGCTGGTCAACACACCAAACCCATTACAACTTCTCATTTGCATCGCTAACATCTAAAGCACTGAAGAGATTCAATGTAAAGGCAGTCCTTTAGTCACACAGTCTCAGGGAATCCCTCCCCCGCCCCCCCCCCCCAGGGTAGAGTCACTATGGGCATTTAAATTGTGAAAACCAAATGTGTAATTTATGCAAAAGTAATCACAATCGTTCCTTGAAAGGTGAGGTTTTCTGTGTTTTACTGACTTTATTTCTTAAAGTTTATTTTTAAATTTATATGCAGTAAAATTCACTCTTTTTTGGTGTATAGTTCCATGAGTTTAAACACATTGTCAACCTTAAAAATTCAACAGCCAGTTACTTTGCCAGCAGAATGGGTTTATTAGGGAATAGTGGAGAATTGCGATTGGTACAAGCAAACTATAGCAAAATTCACAAACAAATCCAGTGAGTTAGGGAGAGGAGCATTATTTTATAGAGAGAAAGGAGGACGTGCGCAGGGTTGTTTGAAGGAGTCTATTGGAGGAAAGTGAGTGTTCAGGGTGGTGGCAGTTTCTCATTGGCTGAGTTGCTGGACAAGTGAAGTAGTGTTGGCATGTAAGGTCTCCTCCTGTCCAGGTCTGTACTTGACAATTCTTCCTGTTGGTGTCTGTAATTGATGTCCAGTGGTAGTGCATGAGGGTCCCCCGTTAACCCCCAACTCCGTTTTAAATGAAGTTTCCCTTTATTGATTCTCACATGTATAGATTCCTGTGACCCCACAGCGAACAGGACACAGAATGGTCCCATCATTCTGGAGTCCCTTGTGCTGCCTCACATGTAATGCCTGGAAACCATGAACTTGCCCTACACCCCTGAAGTCTTGCCTTTTCCAGAATGTCATATAAATGAACTCATCCAGAATGTAGCCTTTTGTGCCTAGCTTCTTTCGCTTGACATAATGTGTTTGAGAGTCATCCATGTTGTTTCCTGCATCATACATATGTGTGCACTCATGCACATGTGTATTCACATTTCATTTTAAAATAAGTATAGCATCAGAAGAAGTTGCCAAGGCAGTACCAAGTGGTTTCCTGGACCCTCAGCCAGTTTCCTCCAATGATTGCATCTGACATAACCATAGTGCAGGATGGGTTCCAGGAAACTGACACCACCGCCAGGTGTGCCATTCATTCCGCCACATGCACAGGCGCGTGCGGCCACCACGTCAGCCAGCACACAGAGCTCTCCCCTCACCAGCAGGTCTCCCCAGCACCTACTGCTGCCCCCACCCCCATTCCTCACCCATTGCAGCCACTGGGCAACTCTTCTCCATCTCTATAATAGTGTCATTTCAAGAATGTTACATAAATCAAGTCATACAGCACGTGACCTCTTGCCATTGGTTTCTTCCTCAGTACAACGCCCTGGAGAGGCTGCTCATTCCTCCTTATTGCTAAGGTGTATTCCATTGTAGACGTGTGGCCGTTTGTTTACGTATTCACCTGTTGATGGACATTTGGATTATTTCCAATGTGTGGCAAGTATGAATAAAGCTTCTATAAATATTTGCATATAGATGTTCTGTTTCTCTTGAATAACACCTACGAGAGGAATGGCTGAGTCATATGGTGAGTGAATGTTTATAAGGAACTGCCACCCTGTTTTCCAAAGTGGTTGTATCATTTGCATTCCCATCAGCGATGCATGAGGATTCTAATTAGCTGTTCTTCATCCTCGCCAGCACTTGGTGGGTTGTTTTTTGTTTTTGTGTGTTTTGTTGTTTTGTTTTGTTTTTGGGGTGGGGGGATTGTTAGCCATTCTAATAGATGTGAAGTGGTATCTCATTGTTTTAATTTGCATCTATCAGGATAGATTTGGAGTAAGAAAAAGGAAAACTCTGTTTGAAGAAACATTACTTTGATTTTCTACTTCATAGATTTATATTTTCATTTATCAGTGAATTTATAAAAGGTCGCAAAGAGTCGCTGGGTCCAACCCAGGCCTCAGGAACATGAAAACGGAAATTTTATGGAGACAGTTACCTTCTGTTTTAAATGCTTGACAACTCTGCTTGTCAACTAGTCCCTGTGCTGAGTGAAAAAAGTTAATCTAGTCCCCATTAATTACCTCAAATAATTATGCAAAATGTATATTACAGAGGCACTGTGTGGATACAAACTGTGTTCCTTGAATTATTTTCCAGGGCATTGAGAACGCATGGTGTTCTAAGAAGTCCCAGTGGCATGCATTTGTTGAAAAGGCATCAGCAGGGCTTTAGTGGGAAGCTCACTGGGTGGAAGTTTGAAAGTCTCATCTCCTCTGCAAAAGGAAGGTTTGGGTTCCCTTCAGCCACATTCCCTGGTCCTGGGCGGGAAGGGACCCCTTCCCAGTGCCAACTGGACAGGTTTGGTCCCTCCTGTAGGTTTGGGGTATTCTGTGACCTCAGGAGTTTAGACTGGGGCGGCTTAATGTCATGAGGAGAGTGTCGATCAGGAGTCAAGAGGCCAAGCTGAGCTGAGGGCTTCGATTTCCTCATTCATTAGGCAAAGTTTTCTTTTGCTCACAGGTACCAAGATTCTAGGAACTGCTTCTGAGTCTGGGGAGGAACAGCCACATCCCATCCTGGATGCGGAGGTGAGAGGGGGCCTCCTCTCTCCTCTAGTTCCACGTCGCTGGCCTTTCCTGCCCTCCCCCTGCACCGGGCCTTGTTTGCAGGCTTGTGGGTGAGGAGACAGGCTGTGCTGGCAGCATTACAGGGCAGACACCTTGGGATGGAGCTGGGGGAGTGGGGCAGAGCCAGGGAGAGGCTGGAGAGGGCAGGTCAGTGCAGGAGGCAGGGCCCACCAGGCCGCCGAGGAAGTATCAGACACAGACAGACAGTTCTGGGGCGATGGGATAAGCAGACAGCATGCCCTCACCCTCACCTCGTTATCAGGGGACGTCCCTCCAGATGGCTCGGCCCAGGAACTGGAAGAAGAGGAGTGTCTTGAAATTAAAATGGCACAGGAGGTACCAGTGACACTCATTAGAGGAAGGCACATTCCTGTGTGACACTCAAGGCCGTGTCTTTCTGAAGCAGGTGGCACTGGGATGCTGAGGCACAGCCCGTTGTTGGGGGGGAGCCTGGAGACAGCCCAGGCGCCTGTCTTGCCTCCTCTCACAGACCCTACGTTTACTCCCAGCCCAGCAGAAGCAGCAGAGGCAGAGGCAAGCACGCAGCAGCTGGCCACAGCCCCAGGCTGCAGTGTGCCAGGCTCAAAGGGACAGGGCCCAGGCTCCTGGGACATCGTGGGAGGGGCTGGGTTTCCCAGAGAAGGCTCTGGCCCTGGGTTGGATGGGATGTCCCTGTGGAGGACAGGAGGGGTGTCACTCCAGGTGGAGATGAGGAGAGGCCAGCGTTCCTGAAAACACACTCAGGTTGAACTCTGGGGGTCTCCTCTGGGGACAGTGGCCTTCCCAGAGGGAGGGAGGCACCCCCACACAGAGGCTTTAGCAGCCCCGCCCTCGTGGCACCAAAGGCGATGGGGTGCGTCAGGCAAGGATGCAGAGAGAGAGCCTCCTTCTCCTGCCCTAATTCCACGTGACTTCACGCGTGGGCATTTTCCTTAGGTCAGAGGCAACCGGCCCTTTAACACCTTATTGGAACAGAATTACCTGTGTATGCCTGTATGCTCCGTGCATCTCCTCCGTTTCCTCCCTCACAGTGCCTGGGGACTGATCATGTAAAGTTGTTAACTCTGTTGCTTAACACCTGTGAAGTCCAAGCTTGCCACAGAGCAACTCTCCTGTGTACCAGTGAGTAGATGGCTGTGAATTCTTGTTTCATGGCCTCCAGCATGATTGGCTCCTGACTTTCAGGTAACAGATCTGTCCTCTGAGTTGTCACCACACCCATCTCCTTTCATCCACACCGAGGAAAAGAGCCCTCCACTTAGCAAAGGCCTAGCCCAGTGTCCTGCAGGAGCGTTCCGTGTCCCCAGCATCCCTGGAGAAGAGAAGCAGCCCCTGTAAGTGCTGTTACTAATAACGCTGGCAACATCCACCTCCAGGAGCCCATCTTGATCTGTACCCTGGGGACCCGTAAGCCCAGGGCAGTGCTCTGGAGGCCAAGACTAGAGACCCACCACAACCCTCTGCCTCTTCTTTCTCCTTGAATTTCCTTTTACTTTAATTATTTGTAGGATCACAGGGTGGTTGAGAGGTTTCTCCAACCCAGTTCTCTAGATGTGGGTAAGGTTACACCATCCTAGCAGGACCACCCTGGTCTTAACCTTCTCCAGAGAATAAGGCCTCCATGTACCCCTCTCCCGCCCCCGCCCCCACCCTTGGGCCCTGGATGCAGACACCATTGCTATGGCTGACCATCATTCAAGGTTTGTTTTCTTCTCGGGTATGTAGATCATTTAGAATGTTTCTCAAATCAGTTTTCCACCTGGCATTTTCGGTGGCGAACTGCTTTTACAATCGGGTGGAATTACCTCTCCATTAAGGTCCTTGTCTTCCATCGAAGTCTAGCGGGTTTTGTTTACATTTTACAAAGTCATGGTTAGGCATCATCTTTTGTGGACCATTTAATTGATCGGCCCTCCGCAGCCTTCTCTTCTTCACATTACAGAATTTTATTTCTTTCTCCTTACAGAGGGGCCCCACGCCCGTGGGAGATGTGACCAGAGTGGAGAAGTAGGGATATTTCCCCTCAGTGACTAAAGCAAAGGCAGCCAAGTTCCATATCTCATGGTCCAGGGTCAGCAGGCGCCCGGTGGTTGGTCTGGTTCTGGCCATTACCGGAGTGTAAATCTAGATCTCAGTGGGCTCCTTTATATAGAGTCCTTCCAAGTCCAAGACGACCCCAGGGAGGCTGGGACAGGCCCAGGGCAGACCCAACCCTGAGCCCTGCTGAGAGCCATGGCAGCTTCCTGGGGAAGCCTTCCGCGGGCGCCTGCTTGCCCACAGCGGGCTCGTTTTGGAAGGATCCACAGCTCACCCCTCGCTTTTCTCAAGCGCAGGTCACCTGCCTGGGAAGCCCCTGCTGACCCCCAGGGCACCCACTGGTGGGTGTGCCAAGAGGCTCTGTCTACAAGATGGATGAGATCTGGCTCTATTCTAAGGAACTGAAATGCGTCATTTAGTCAAAGTCTATGATACAAATAGCCCTTTTGTGGGAGCACGATTAAGAATAAGCAGTTAGGAGAAATTTTTCAGCTCTTGAGAGATTAATTGAAGTAGAGTTAAAAAAAAATAGACCTATTTCCCTCGTCTTCCCATTGGTGACGTGTGCGGGCAGACATGGCTACTTTTTGCTGCCTCCACAGACAGAATAGCACCTGCACATGGGGTGGGAGCATTTCTCAGCTAACTGACCCCACAGCGGGGTTGTTGCATCTTTGTATGGTACTGAGTGGCTGGATGCCTGCCCAAGCCTGAGTGCGTTTCATTCTTTGAGTTTGGTGCCTGAATGTTTGTGTGAGCAACAAAGAGTAGCCGAGTTCCCCCTTGCACCCTCTAGGTCAGGGGACAGAAATATTTTTCCGTAAAGAACAGACAGCAAATGTTTTAGGCTTCGTGGACCTCATATCCTCTGTGGCAGCTGCTCAACTCTGTTGGGATGGTGGTGGGCAGGCAGCCACAGAGAGTATGCAAATAAAGGGCTTGGCTGTGGTTCCAATAAACCTTTATTTATAAAAGCAGGTGGCAGGCTCACTTTGCAGGCTGTAGTTTGCCCACTCCTGCTCAGGAGTCAGAGAGATGAGGAAGTTCCTTCCCTCTCCTTCACTGTTTTCAGGTGATGCCTGGGAATAGTTTGTTCATTCAACACATACTTACTGCGCAGTCTGCTACTAGGCCAGGCTCTGTGATGTGAGTTTAGGAGAAAACAGAATATACAAAGGTTCCTGATTCATGGGACTTACATTGTAGCAAGGAGACCGGTGTGACTGGAGAGGAGTATGAAGAAGGAGCCACTGGAGAACTTTGAACTGAGAACTACATGATCTCTTAGGAGGGGAGAGCAGTAATCCAGGAGGGAGACGGTGGTAGCATGAACTGGAGTGGTATCAGGGAAGACAGTGAGGAGTACTTGGATTCGGGTATATTTTGAAGGTAGAGCCAGCTTGATTTCCTAATGGACATGATATGTCTGAGATAAAGGATGTTTTGGGCCCAGCAATTGGACTATGGAATCGCCACTAACTGAGACGGGGATACTAAGGGTAGAAGCAGTGTCACACGTGCTAACTTGGAAATTTCTCTATTCATACAAGTGGATATAGTCAAGCCTGGCATTTGGGAGAGAGGTCTGAGCTTCAGAGGATACATTTATATGTTGGCATCATGGAATAATAATGGTATTTGAAGTGATGGGCTCAGGTGTGATCGCCATGGAAACGGAAGTGGCTAGAGAAAAGAGGAGAGCCAAGACCCTGGGGCACTCCAGTATTAGGACGTTGGGGAGAGGAAGAGGGTCCTGCAAAGGAGAAAGGGGTGATGAGTGAGCCGGGAAGAGGAAACCAAGAGAGGGCAGTGTCCTGGAGCCAAGCAAAGAAAATATATCCGGGAGGAGGGAGTGGTCTCCTGGGACAAGTCCTGCTTGTAGGTCTGGATCTGTTGTAAGATGAAGACTGAGTGTTGACTGTTGGATTTGGCAGTTTGGTGGTTCTTACTGACTGTGATGAGAGCAGTTTATGTGGAGGGGAAGATGGCCTGATTGGAGGGGTTTGGCTACTCAGAGGAGCAATTTAATGGCGGGGGGGAGGAGGGAAGTAGGATTAAAAGAAGATTTTTTGTTGTTGTTTTTTAAAAAAATGTTTTTATTGATTTTTAGAGGGAGAGGAAGGGGAAGATAGAGATAGAAACATCAATGAGAGAGAAACACTGATTGGCTGCCTCCTGCATGGCCCCCACTGGGGAGGAGCCTGCAGCCAGGGCATGTGCCCTGACCAGGAATAGAACCGGTGACCTCTGGGTACATGGGTCGACACTGAGCCACTGAGCCACGCCGGCCAGGCTTTGTTGTCTTTGATATGGGAGAAGCAGTGCATGTTTGTACGGTGGAAATCATCCAGTAGAGAACAAAAATTTGATAATGAGGGAGAGACAGGGAAGAACTGCCCGAAAGGTGTCCTTTAGTAGGTGAGAAAGATGGGGTCTGTACCAAAAGGAGGTTTCAGCTTTAGACAGCTGCTTCGAGGACTTCAGCTTCTGGCCAAGAGGGAGTACTTGGTACTGGACTCTCCATATACAACTAGAAAACCAGGAAGATTGTTACGGCTTCCTGTTTCACTGAGGACGCTGAGGCCGCCGGCAAAGAGCTTCCAGAGATCCCCACCATCGCCCCCTCCAGCACCCACCTCCGCACGCTCTGCTGCCCTCTGGGCCCTTATCTAGACCAGCTTCAGGCTTCACGGATTGTCTGCCTATTGTTTGTCCCTTTTCTACGTTGACTTCGGCTCTGATCTGTAATATTTCTTCTTTCTGGTCAGTTTGGTTATTTTTTTCCTTATTTTTAGCTTCATAAGGTAGATGTTTAAATCATTTTTAGACTTTCTTCTTTTTAGTGTAAGCGTTACATTATACATTTCCTTCGAAGCACAACTTTGGCGGCACCTCACAAATATGAATAGGTAGGGCTTTTATTATTCAGCTGAGAGTGGGGACAGGGCAGGTGTGATGGGGGAAGAGGGCAGGGGGGCCGCTGTGACCCGGCCTCTGGGCCTGGGGAAGAGCGTGGTCTCGGCTGTGTGCTAACCTGGCCACATTAAGGCTCCTTTAGCTTCAGAGCACCTTCGCATCTGCTGCTTAATGATATCTAATAACATCCTTGAACAGTCTACAGGGTGGGCGTCATTGTCCCATTTTATAGATTAAGAACCTGAGATACCAAAAGACTAAATGGCTAGCCTGCAGTCATGACAGTTATTAGTGGTAAACTGAGGTCTAGAATCCTTACAAATATTGCCGCGTGTAACCACAACTGAAGCTATTTTATAGGTGTGAGAGGATCTGAAGCTCTAAGAAGTTAAGTGATGTGCCAGCGTACACACAGCTGATCTCCGCTGGAGCCCAAACTTGAACTCGGGTCTGCTAAGGTCAGATGATCTTTTCACCTCACCCGCCTCAACTGCCAGGAAAAGTATACATGGAAACATTGCATAGTAAGTGGATTCAATTAAAACTATTTTAAGTTAGTTTTCATTCTGTATTCATGGGGCAGCTATGATTCTTTCGACTGAAGGAGGCATTTGTATTTCTCCAGTGGGTTCAAGCAGGCTAGTTTGATTACACAGGGTATTTTTCTAAATAAAAACAGTAGTTTGCTTTAGTTCCTACAGACCATTTTATAGATACACTGACTTCAAATTAACCAGTTTATTAGATTATTTGCCCAGTGTGCTTTGCGCATATGCCTGGCCTCTGTGTTGTGCGCAGTGTCTAAAGGTGTACATATGCAGTTTGGTTTACCTGCTGCAGGACAAAGTCTGAGCCAGCTCCTGGGCACCCCACGTAATAAGTAACCCTCAGATACTGTTCATTCATATGAATTAA